CTCTAAACAAGAAATCTCAGTAAGACAAGGGGTCCTCAAGAATCTTCCACCCCAAGCTCACTTACATGTGCAATATAAGTTCTAAAAGCATTTATATCATTATCAGTTCCAAAACTATGTAGTGCAACAGATATCTATGGCATGTGTGTAATCACTATCTACTGGCCAGAGAAATGTAGGAATACGTCTATTCCTTACATGTAGTACAAGGAACACCGCTTGCAACTCACCCACAGCCTCACCCTCTTGTATGTTCTACATACTCAGGCTTACCGTATAGGTGGAACACCTCCATGCATACCAACAAGGCACTAACATGCAATAGCTCAACAACATTTCCAAAACATCAAAAGCATGTAACACAGCATGCATATACCATATCCCCATGGGACATGGTGGAACCACAACATGGCTAAACCGAGGACACGAAAGCTTACCTCTAAGCTAGCTATCCAATGCCACAAGCTCAAAGTCCAATCACAGCAGATCACAATCTGATATGGACCAAATATAAATCAATAAACATGTACCACATGCATACAAATTAAAGACAACGCCTTTTCATTACGTTTTAATGCCTTAAAGCTTCTAACAAAGCCACAAGCCCTTAATCTCATGATTCCGGCTTAGTCCATTAAATACAGAAGCTCAACTTCATCAAACTAGGGTCCACAAACCCCCAATAGCCTACTGTACACACAGCACAGCTACTGTTCTGCGAAATCCCAGAATATCCGATATTCCTCGGGACCATATCCGGATATGCAATATCCGGATATCTCACTGTCCATATCCGGATATGCAATATCCGGATATACAGATTCCAATATCCGGATATCCAATATCCAGATATCCCAAAACCCCATATCCGGATATTCAATATCCGGATATCTGTTCGACAAATATCCGGATATTTTACGACAGAATGCAGTTTCTGCATTTTCGTGAAGATATCCCTTAAAGGTTCCCTTTTACCAATTTTAAACACCTAATCATGCATTTCTAGGCGTGTTCAACATTACCCAACAACAAGTTATCATCTTTTAGTCATTAGATGCATCAAGGTACCATTTTTAAGCATTTAAACTCAAGTTAAAGGTTGGTACACATACCCCAGCTCAAAACAAAAGGAAAGGTTGCCCTTTGGAGCTCACAATCAGTCTCAAGCTACTGTCACAAGAGGATGCAAAAACCAAAAACCAAGACAAGGCTTCTCTCAACCCAACCACCAAGGTCAGCCCCCAAACAAACAAGAACAGTGGCTGGTCACTCAGAAAATGGTGTCTTCCAACCTCCCAAGGCTCACTCAAACAAGAACAAGTGTTTAGGAAGAAGGTTTTAAGAAGAAACAAGCATAAAATGATCACAAAGTCTCAAAATGGAGAATATGGCAATGGAACAGTATAGGAGGTCAGCCACCAAGGAGAAACTCACGCTGGTTTTCTGTTATTTAGGGTAGTGAGCCCTTAAATGAGTATAAATAGTCTCAAGCCACTAAAACGCGCAGTATTAACTTTAATTGCTACGCTTAGTATTTTAATCCCAAACTTTGGATTCTGAAACTACACATTTTTCCAAGAATTATCATATTTTTATTATATTTTTCTAAGCACCTTTTCGGTACGCGTTTTTCATAGTCAGTATCAGTTTCTAGCATCAGTTCTCATTTTTTGGACTTGAAACTCGTTTTACAAGTCCTACATATTATTCTAGTAATTATCATGCACTTACATTAATTTTCCGGGATACTTTTTCGGTACGCATTTATACCGACTAGCAGAACCGGTATCTGCACTTTTCTTCCGAAAAGCGACTTCCAGCATTCTTAATCACTTACCATGATTATTAACGCCTCTTAATAATTATTAGGGTCCGTTATGGAATCATTTCTTAATTTTGCATAATTAATTAATTAAATACCTTAATTAACGGTGCGGGTTCTTACACCACTTATCCATACTTGATCTATGTCATTGAATATATTGGTGCGATGACCATGGAAGGTTTAGTTACGTTTGAAAGTAACAAAAGCCGCCATGATCTCATATTGATATAGGAGGTGGACCAGATTGTATCTAAGGAGGAATCTAAAGAAACATAGCATACAGTTGCGCACTAAAGATATATGATATAATTATCTCAAGTTAATGTGGCCCAAGTGAGAGATTGTTAGAAAATTATATTTTCTAATAATTATTGTGGGTCACATATTATATTAATAATTATATTGTGCTATTTATATATATTGGATAAATTAAAGTGATCAAATAAATATTCCCAAATAGATTCCTAAGTGAGTATGGGCTGAATGAGTGGATACCGGTGTTGGGCCAACTAGGTATAATGAGAGTTTATTGGCCCAACAATAAAGATAAAAACACTATAAGGGTTATGGTCCCTAAGACGTCAAATTACAACCCTAGTTTCTCTTTCCCATCAAGAGAGAGACAGCACACTAAGAAATTCGATTTTAGGGTAATTTGACTGAGGAAGACTACAAACCCCAAGAGACAAGATCAAAATTATTCCGCTGCAATGGAGACAGGTATGCCTTCACCTTTATAAAATTATTTCTTTATGATTTAGTATGATGGAACTTAGCTTGTAGGTGATAATTATCACCAAAAGATTTAGAAGAATTAAAAAATTCCAATTCGGTGTAGGGTTAATGGATCCTTTTATTTTTGTGATTCTCACCTAACACATTTCTAATTAATATAAAATTTCACTACTTACACTTGAATTCTCGTTCCCAACAAAATTTTGTTGCTTTTGCGATTATGCCGATTTGAATTGAACTAATCTGTTAATTGAGGAACCGGTATGCTGGTGCATGCTGGAAGTCGCGTTGCTGGTGCAGCTCACGTTGCTGGTACATGCTGGAAGCCGCGGTTATCTTATAGTGATATATTAGCAATCAATGTGTCACATCAATACTTTTGTTGAAGAAAACAGATTTACTTGTTTTTTTTTTTTTTAGAAAAGGGGAATAAAAAAGGGTTTTATTTTTTTTTTGATGTGACAAAAATATTTATTTGCCACAGATATATATTCACCAAAATCTGTCAATGGATTTTCTTTTAAAAAAAAATAAAAAAAAATCAAGATCCGATATGAGATCCTTAGGGACATTTGGTAGAGGAGAAATTTTTTTTATCTAAAAATCTCGATTTTTGAAAATTCAATTTTCTGAAAATTCTACAAAATATCTTGTATCAAACGCTCCCTGATAAAATATGTTTATGGCAGACAAAATTTCTTTGATGCAAAGGCAAAAATACTTTTGCCAATAAAACAACAGATTTACTTTTTTAGCATATAGTAAAATTTGACGTACTAATTAATCAGCCTAGCTAGGGAGCGTAATCAACCTGCTGAATGTATGGCCAAGTTGGGGTTTTCTCACAAGAGGTTAGGGAGGATAATCTTTAGAGAGCCTAATTCTATGATGATTCATTTTCTTAATTTAGCTCAGTTCAGAAGGAGGTGGAGCAAACTATTTCTAGTTTGCAACACCTAGCTCGATAGTTTTTTTTTTTTTTTTTACTTTATGCCCTCGATTAATGTAAAAGAAAAAATATTTTAAGTTCTTAATGTTAGCTTTAAGGATCCAAAAACTAATGTGACAAAAATAATTTTTTTAGGAAATTAAATGGTGTTTCACTCTTCAATTATTACTCAAAATGATCAATAAATCATTTACACATAAACCTTTATGGGATATATTTTTCTTATGTTGTAGGAAAAAAATTATCTCATGTTGTAGAAATAAAAATATAAGTGAGATCCACAGGTAAGAGGAAAGAGAAAAAAGAGTGGTGGGACCCAATCTCTTTTTGTGTGTGTAAAAAATTGTTTATCTAATGTAAAATTAGATAAACATAACCCAACCTTTATATATATTTTTCTCAAATGTTTTATTCAATAGCCTACGCAACGCCATGCAATGTGTGTATAATTATACGATAGGCTAGTAGTCTCTGAAAGACAATCAATCGATTCTAAAGAGAAAAAGCGAGAAGAGAGGTGAGCATCATTGGGGAATCACTGCACTAGAAGAGAAGAAAGTGAGAAACGACATAGTTAGGCAACCATATACACACACACACACACACACACACATATATATATATATATATATATATATATATATATATATATATATATATATATAAAGAAGAGGCGAAAATGACTCAAATTAGATTTACTTAATGGGAAAAGTATATGTTATTTTAAAGGAGGTAAAATTGTGTTATTTTAAGTTAAAGAAATAGATAGATAAAGTAGGAGAAAGTGAAAAAAAAATGAATATGTGGATTCTATCTCTTTGTGAGAGTGAAATGACATAAATTGTATCATTTAAAAGGACAAACACTTTTTCCTTACTTAATTTATCAAAGACTTTTTGTGTTTGAATATTTGAATTATCAGGAAAATTTTCTTACAAAACACAAAGCTGAAATAATTAAATAAGGTTGGTGTCTTTTTCTTACAAAGAAAACAGGGACAATGTCAACATTACCAGCTAATTAGCCACCTATTTTTCTCATGCTCAACCAAAATGAGGTCTTTAACCCAAACTTATCCAAAAACAAAAACCAATAATATTTTTTTAACATATCTCATTTTTTATTGGATCGACCTGAAGAATGAATAATACATAACTGCATTTCGTTTGCAAAAAAAAAATTATAATTTTTTTAGAAAAAAAATAAAAAATAAAATCTAAATCACTTGATTAATTATAAAGAGTCTGATACCGTATTATAAACAAACTCTTCCAAAATATTTTAAAAAATAATTTTATTATATCTATAACACATATTATATCTAAAAATTAATTTGAGATTTTTTGATGAGGTAAATTTGAAAAGATCAAATCAAAGTTCACCTATAAAGATGAAGTATTGGTGTTAAATTGGTAAATAAAAAAACTATATAAAGGGGACACCACCTTTCTTAACAGCAGAACCAAAACCCATCTTGAAGTGGAGTGAAAAATGGGGTCTCTAATGGCCTTTTCTACTCTCACTATTGTATTGGCAACAGTCTCCCTCACCTTGCCATCTCAAATATCAGCAGACAACTACATCTATTCATCTCCACCACCACCACCAAAGCCTTACTACTATCATTCTCCACCACCACCAGTGCACTCTCCACCTCCTCCTTACCATTACTCTTCACCACCACCACCTCCCATGAAGCCCTACAAGTACCCATCTCCTCCACCACCAGTCTACAAGTACAAGTCCCCACCCCCACCCTATAAGTACCCATCTCCTCCACCACCACCATACAAGTATCCTTCACCTCCGCCACCAGTTTACAAGTACAAATCACCACCTCCTCCTCCTCCATACAAGTATCCATCTCCTCCACCTCCACCATATAAGTACCCATCTCCACCACCACCACCATACAAATACCCTTCACCTCCACCACCAGTTTACAAGTACAAGTCACCTCCTCCTCCTCCTCCCTACAAGTACCCATCTCCTCCACCACCGCCATATAAATACCCATCACCACCACCACCAGTTTACAAATACAACTCTCCTCCTCCTCCACAACACTATGTCTATGCATCACCTCCACCTCCCCATTACTACTAGATGGTAATTTAGCATAGCACTCTAAGGTAAGCTTCTTCATAAAATCTATATCATCCATATTATTAATTATAACAAATTTTCATGTTATAATAATGGAACATTAAAATTTATTTATTTATTTTATTTTCCCAAATAGAGTATAAAATCATATTTTCAAGGTTTTTTTTCATTTAATTTTTATGAAAAAAGAGAGAGAGAAACTCACGTTCTCTTTTTCTTTCTTTAATTTCCTTTAGGAAAAAGATACGTGAATATATATATATATATATATATATATATATATAAATTCAAGGTAAAATTATATTACTAATGCTTATTGCATTTTAGAATGCCTTAATACATGTAATGTAAAATTACTTCCTCATTACTAGATCAAAGTACCAATTATTGACATGTTATGACAAACTAACAATATACGCATGTGTGTGTATATATTTATTAGGATCTGAAGAACATGTGCAAATAAAGAAGGAGATGGATATGTGGATGGAAGAAGCACCGTACAATTAGATGTATTTTGTATTTTTAAAGTTGAAAGGCACTGTTCTGATATGTTTCATGCACTCCTTCCTGTTATGCTTGCATGGTGGTCTTCAACATGCTTGTGAAGTCAATTTTATAATAAATAAACAATTATTTTCTGTGGCAATCTCTGCATGACACTTCTTCTCTATTCCATGCTTTGAATTTTCTATTTCAAATTTTCTATTTTATGCCCACGAATCAAAAGTTTGACACACAAGAAACGCGAAAATGAAAGGAAAATGATGTGATCCCTTTTTTCGTCAATTGATAAATAGAATATAAATAATTGATAAATGGCGTGTATTATTTTATGAATAAGCTAGGTTGCTATCAATTATCTTATTTATCGATTATTTACCGGTGTAAAAGCAATGAGTACGTCAACGTGACAATAAAATTCTGGAACCGAAACGCCATCACAGCCGAAAAATTTGAAGTTACCTTGGTGTTTTATATATAAAATAATTAAAACAAAAATAATTTAAAAATTAAATTATTTTTATGTAATATTAATTACGAATTAATAAAAGAATTTATTTTCATGATAACATTTGTAAAAATACTACAGAAAATTTATGTATCGCTACATTACTAAAACATTAATTTCGACCGAACAATTTTATTGAAGTCACAATGCATGATTACGTAAAGAAGTATGAAATTTTACCAAAATTGGAAACTAAAATTAAATCTCTATTAAATTTATGTGATTATATAAAATAAAATGAAAGTACTTCACAATATAATTATAGAAGCATTAAAGAATTTAATAGTCTTATTATCTGAAATGAATAAAAATAACAGTTTACATCAAATTATTTGGGTGTTTAGTGAATTAAATATGTAATATAGAAGGTATTCGGCTTCTAGAAATATCTTTTTTCTCTATTTTGTCTTACAGTTTTTGTGTATCCATTGAGTCTGAAAGTAATTTTCATTCAGGATAGTCCCTAATTATAAGTATTTTCTTACATTGAAACACCTTAACATTGAACATAAGCTTATTCACTAGTTAAGGCATTCTTTGTGGGTGATGTTGTTCTCTTTATATAAATAGTATTTATATTTATAGAATATTTACAAATATTTATATATTAATATAATATGAATATTCAAACTTTCTCTCAACGTAAAAATGTCGTCGCAACAAAATTATACAGTGTAAAAAAATCATCCTGACAAATTGTTATTGGGCTTCCAACTTGATCCTCTCGGTTTGATAAAATGTTTATCGAAGGAAAATTACTTGTGAACTTAAATAGGACTTCAAATTAGTAAAAACTAAACAAACAAGCTATTAAATGTTACTTGTCAAAGGGAAAACCCGGAAAGAAAAAAAAGAATTTCAAACAATCATTTTCGCTAAAGTTTTTTTTTTTTTTTCCTATTTTGTTTTGCTAAACAACTATATCTATAAAAAGATATAATTTATGGTAGGATATCCACTTACACTTGATGTAAGTTTTAGATAACTTATATGAGCTGACAAAACTTATTGTAAACGTTAAGGTGGTGTTTGGTTGGGAGCTTTTCAGCGGATATCTATCTTTCTCAAGTATGGCTTTTAGAAACACCATGTTTGTTTCAACGTTTTTCACCAAAAACCCATCTATCCAGTTTGTCTGGATTTATGAGAAACATAGATATCCGCACTGTTTAGAAACCCAATTTGAAGGTGGGATTTTTCGGAAAACCGATTATCTGGCTTTTAATGCACTGTTGATTTCATAAAGTTACCTAATTTTTCCAGTAAAGTTTTTCCCCACCAAACAACTTTTTTTTTACATTTTTCTACCTATCTCACTTTATCTATCTTTCCAATCATTTCTCTATCTATCTCATTTCCCTACTATTCCAAAAAAATTTCCTGAACCAAACGCCCCCTAAGTTTCATCAATATAATAACCATTCAATAATGTAATACTTTTTTGATGACCGTACATATTAAATTTGGTATCAATCAAACATTTATATCATATATAATAATTGCCATTTAAATATATTTTGGAAGCAATTAAATGAATGTTTAATTTTAATAAAATATAATAGACTTGAACCATCTCTTGCATGTAACAACTAGTTATTGAATGATGTAATACACTTAATGGAGGTGAATCTCCTCCCACAAGTCATTCTCTATTTGTACCAAAACTGCACATTAATTGGAGCTGTGTTAAGAATGATTCAAATGGCTGAATTGAATGGAAGTTGGTAAGAAAATAACTTTTACAAATTGATATTTCTTGACTCGGCCTTTACATGAATATATCGCATATTCAACACACACTCAACTTCAAGGTACAACTTCGGTCTCACATCCTTTTCTTGCTATATTTTCAACACAAAGGGAGATGCAAGTACGCATTTACACAAGCACAGAAAGTAAAGAAGTGACTACGTACAAGTCATCTCTAATGCTTTACAATAATGTTTTAGGGTTGATTTTACAAATATTCTTTCAATCCTTGAACGGATTCAAATATTTTCTCTCTATTTTCTGCCTCCATCCCTGTCTCTTTGATCAAATATAAATAATTAAAAAATCCTAGAGAGAAGTTATTGCGTTATATATTGCCAATTAATAGGGGAAACAATTGTTTTTTGGCTAAATTGTTAGCATTTAATTTAGAAAAGGAAGATAACGAGAAACAAGAACATAATATTTGAATCTCCCTTTATCATCGTTCATGTGGTTAGGTAGATAAAATATTATATGAAACCTAAAATATAGTAAATCTTGGATAAGATAATTACTGAGAGGAACTCTTAATTACTATAGAGTATGAGGAGTTATTTTCAGTGTAAATGACTGTGGAAATCCTATGATGAAAGAAAAAAAATCTCAAATTATTGTGATTGGTAACAAGTCTTATCTCGTCTTTCTAGGTTGTAATAAATTAATATATATTCCACTAATATTGTTAACAACATGATTTAAAGTTGATGCTGATGCACCGTCAGTTTAGTTTTATTATTATTATTATTATCAAATTATTGATGACATATTAAAAATTGAACTTTTTTTGTAATAATTGTGAAAGACAAATTTCTTTATGGATTTGAAAATAATGATAGTTTAACGAAGCTTTATCTAACAATGCATTACAATTAAATCTTAAATATAATTGCTCCTACAATTATCTTAATTGGTTATAGCAAATTGGCTTACAAGTTTTTAATGCATAACATGAATCATAAGGAACTTTCAACTTTGTAACTTAAGTAAAATACATAATTGATTGAGCAATTATATAAGCAAAACCTCTAAAGTAATTGCTATCTCTTGAAATGAGAATTATTGTTCTCGTTTGTTCTCGGTGGACATGTACTCTTGCAATAGCCTTTTTTTTCTTAAGTGTGTAAGAGAAACTCAAGTAAAGACTAGGGTTTTCTTCCAAGAAGACCTATGTTTTCTCCTAGCCTCCATATATATATATATATATATATATATATATATATATATATATATATATATATATATATATTATTATGTTTATAAGCCTCATAAGCAGTCAATAGAAAAAAGGAAATTCCGCAACTACAGCTGTTAGGAATCACATTATTGGGCAAAAGGGGTCACAACACCAACACAAAGGGATATAAAATATCCATGATAATTCATTGCATTCCAAACCACAATAATATTACATGTATTAGGAGGTAAAAGAGAGAAAATAGAAAATATTGATTTCATTGATTTGTGGTAATTGATTTGTACAATGAGTGAGCTCTTATATAGAAGAAGATAACAGAAAAGAGAGATCTAGAATATCATTAAAATACTAAAGTACCCTTATACCTAATATCTAATACTCCCCCTCAAGATGGAGAGTGAACAAAGAGAACTTCCATCTTGAACAAGAAAAATCAAGAAAACATAATAACCAAATAACATGAGCATCAGCCAGTAAAGAAACAGTGCTGGAATGGACATCAACTATAATGTGCTGCAATGGACATCAACAAAGAAAGGAAGGGCTGGGATGGACATCAGCAACCTAATATGAACTGCCGGGATGGACATCGACAAAATCAACTGTTCTGAAATGAAATTCAGCAACATGATCAATGCTCCCCCTGAATAAGAAGCCAAAATAAAGCCAAAACAATGGCAAAACCAAATACAACCCAACACAGTACAGAAAAATAAAAAATTACATAATGAAAAATCCATCAAAAACTACAATGATATATTGCAATAAAATCCATGAGCTCCATAAATCTTCACAAACTTGCAAAATGAGAAGTGAAAGAGACAAGTAGACAGATCTAAAAATATATCAGCAACCCAGATTAACAAAGGTGGAAGACGACTAACAAGAGAAAGAAAAAAAAATGCAGATCAAAGACCAGAGAAGAAAAAAATAGTGAGATATGGTGCTAGCAGTAACACACCAAACAAGAAAAAAAAATATAGAGATGAAAAGAAAAAAAATGAGATGGATGATGTCTGAAACGATCCGAAATGTGAACAAAACAACTCTGGAACAATCTAAAAAAAATGTAGATATGAAAGAAGAAGAAAAAAAATGCCAAATCTGAAACAGAAATTACCGGAGAAGAAAAAAAATGCAGATCTGAAAGCAACACAGATCTGGAACGGAAACAGCCGGAGGAATGGACGATGCGGCCGGAGAATCAGACACGGTCGGAGACGATGACCGGAAAAGAAGGAGACCGGAAAAGAAGGAGACGCTACTGGAGGAACGATGGCAGCAAAAAAAATAATAATAACGAAACATATCTAAGATTTGAGAACAGGGACGATGGCAACAACAAGGAGACGCTGCTGGATCTGACACATGATGAGGAGAAAATAACGGAACCAAAAATAGATGAAGAAAGAAAAGAGATCTGGAAAATATTAGACACAAATTGCGAAGAAAGAAGGTGACTCGCAGATCTGGAAAACATTGTAAGGAGACTGAACAACCACCATCAAAGGCGGAGAACAACCGCGAAAATCGGCGGCGGTAAAGCACCGGAGAAGAAGGGCCAAGACTGTGGGACGAGATGCACCGGTGATAGACATAAACTCCTAAAAAAGAGTGAAGG